AACAAGAGAAGTGAAATCTTAAACAGCTGGTGAATTATAATAATATCACCCAAATATTTAATATTTATTTTACATATTTTTACTTATCTTACAAATTAGAACAGTAATAGAAGCTTACCAAAAATGTGAAAACAAAAAAAATTACGAACGTAGTGATTGTAGGCGACAAATACTGTATATTAAGAGAAGGCAGAAGGCTACGTAAATAAACTCCTCACAAAGTGATCGTACATGATAAAGCAAAACAAGATAAGATGTAGGAGAGATTATAAAAGCATTTATTTATGAGGCATTTATGAGTTATTACAGAATGTAGACCTGAATTGTACTAAAAGGGTTTTCATTTTAACTTAGTGAAGACTAAAATACAATGAAACGTAAATACTTTAGCCGTGTACTTTCTTGTCTGCTTCTTTTTCTCAGCTCCGACCAATCACGAGTGATCACACGTGGGGAGGAGGATTACGTCACCTGACAGTGGACTTCTGGGTTGTGGAGTTTTTAATCCATATTTACACCAAAGAAGCTTATAAATAGTGCTTTATATTTTGGAACATATATCTTTCGCCATAAAAATATGATAAACAATCTCATCTCTTGAACGTCACTTCCTGAAGGTGCTGAGATCAGATTTCAGCTCAGTGTCACTGTTACACACAAATAACAGTTTCATTTAGGAAGACTGTTTTAAGAAGCACTGTTAAGATGATGCTACTGTCTCCTCATGAAACCTCATTCTGCTCAGGTGATCTGGATAATAATTGTAATTGTAATAGCACACCTGCACCAGTGAGGGCGCTGTTCCTTCAAGTGATAGGAATCCTGAGTCTTTTCAGGAAATCGAATTCATTCGGCTGTCAGCTCACCAATAAGAACTGACACTTTCAGCTCCCAAATGGCTCATCACTCACGTTATTGATATTTTTACCAGTTAGAATGGGTTTTTATATAAATAATAAATGATGACATAGGGAAACCAGTGACCCTTTTAGCTGATAAAATTAATAATAATATTAATAATAATAATAATAAAGAAATCCATAGACCCCTCAGCCCAGATATACTTTATGAACTACTGAAATGTTAATGTTCGATTGTGACAGAACAGACCCAAGCTGATATTATTTCTACAGCAGTTAGTTCCGGCCCACTAATTTGATTGGCCGAGCAGCATTCCAAGAGTGCTTATATTTACCATAAACTCACTAGGCCATTTCACTGTGTGCATCACTCCGCTCGTCTGTCTTCGCCATGTAAAATACCAAAATACCAATTCAAAGCCAGTTTCACTGGTTGCACCTTTAATGGGAATGTACACATCATTGTGCGCGAGCTAGCCAGCTAGCCGACGGGCTATAAAGTGGGTGTGGCTTCTTCTGGATCTATTTCCATTAGTGGAGCAAAAATAAACACATTATTTGGCCATATTCTGTTGGAAATGTCACTTACTCAAGATTAATTTCTTGTTTATAGAACTGGTGTTTAAAAGCAATATCCCACTCGCAATCGTGCCGTTATACGGAGTATCATCAGGATACTGATATTCAGTATACACACACACTTGCTTGTGTAATATTGCTTAATTATAGGCTTTCTTTTTTTCCATTATTAAGGTCTGGATGAAACCCATTGTCACAAATTCCCCCCTTTCAGCATGTGACATGATCCTCAGCATCATAAACGCTGCTGTATTTTTTGTTTACAATGAACATGTGCATTTTGTTTTGAACATTGAGTCCTGTCGTGTGATTGGTACGTTCCCGGATTGTACTCCCATGTTCTCAGCTCATTGCCTTCATTAGTTTGTGTATTTATAACCTCCTGTGTCTGTCTCTTGGCGAGGTGTTGTCGATGTTTTTGTGCGTTTGGGTGTTTACGTCTGAGCCTTGTTCTGGTTTCCTACTCTCCGGTTTCTGCATGTTTTCTCATTTACGGAATATAGATTATATTTATTTATTGTCGCTTGCCTGTCATCTGACTCTTGGCATCATGGAATAATGATGATGAGTATTGGTTTAACCTTCATAAACAACACACTTGCGTCCTGCCTCATCACACAGCATGTTACACCCACTCAATTCAAGCGACCAGTCAAATATGTTAATAACGATGTTTGATTCAATTAAAGCGAGATTAAACTTCACTGCACCTCTGACCAGGATAAAGCGCTTCCTGAAGAGGAACCAGATGTTTAAAAGAGGGAAGAATTTGGATTAAATTATACTGCAACAAGAGTAACAGCGAAGAAAACTGTTTGCTTGTTTATAATTTAACGCCATGCAGCTACCATGGCTATTTTCATGGTATTTTCAAGGTTTTTTTTTAAGTTTATCTTTGATAAAAAAATCTAAAACTAAATCTGGCCTCACTTCTTTAAAAATCTCTAGAGTCCTAGAGGAGTTGAAACCATCAACAGCAAAGAAAAAGAAGAAAAAAAACAGCTCATATATACGAGTCGACTCCTTCTTGAACGACACGTCACTAGTTCCTCCTCCCTACAAATTTAACACATGTACAGTGTGTTTGTAAAATCAAACTCTGATTGATAAAATTCTGTACTTATCGTTTCAGTGTCTCTGTCCAGACTAGACGATTCACAGTGAAAGATTTTTTTATAAAGACTGAGTTTATAAACCACCACAATGAGACTCCGTGATGGATTTTTTTTTTCATAAAACATGGAAAAATGGCATAACTGAACATAAGCCACTCTTGTAAACATTATCTCTCACAATAATGTGTTCCAGATGATTTGTTCAACCCATCACACACACACACACACACACTACATCTCCATCTCGCCTGTTCTCCTCTCATTGATGTCGGATTTCATAAGATGAGAGAAAGCAAATCCATCTCTATTGCTTTTATTTATTTATATATTTAATTCTCTCGCTTCTCACTCTCTTTCTCTCACTCTCGGCAGTAGTAGCCAGTTGTCATAGTAACAGCAGATCGCCCGATTTCCCAGGGGACCGTGGGAATTCTTGTGTTTTGCTGAGCCTGACCGCTGTTTGGGCTGCTTTACAATTCCAATTACAGACGCAGGCTCATTTTCACACTACAACTAATTGCCCAGAGCACACAGTTCTGCGCACACACACACACACACACACACACACACACACACACACTGCTCACCAACTGAATGTTCCAACACAAGAAGGACAGGGGCCGTGTTTCTGTCGGAAAATTCACACGCCAAGATTGCAAAAGGAAACAACAGCCACAGTCGTTAACAAAACGGTTTAAAATGGTTTGATTGGTGCGGCTGAAACTTGGAGCATAAAACAGGTAAAAGGTTTTTATACCACAGCGCTGCTAAATGCTCTAATCTGATTAGTCAGGAGGTGTTGATTAAGCAGCAGCTCTGACAGCAGTCCCGATTGTAATTCAAATCAGGTTTATATTAATCACCTGCAAATTGCTGTGGTGTAAGAGGAATAAAACGTGCTGTTATTGGAAATTAATCAGCTTCAGTGTGATGACTGTCTGACACCACCCTAACGCAGATTATTTTCTCATAACAGCACGTCTTGAAGATTTGATTATTCCGTAAATAACTCATAGAATAACTGGGTGTGTAAATGTGATGCATATAAAAATGACTAACTGCCTTCTGCTTAAATCATGCAACAGATTTTTTGTTAAAAAGAAAACCCTGATTCTTACACATGATGTTGGGGTTTTTACAGGATTTCTATTCTTTAGTTATAAAGTCAAAAATATAGCAGCCATGTAGTATCACACACATAAGTATTAGGGTGTTTTCATAATTTTTTTTCCAGAAAAAAAGCAAAACACATTTTGTGCTGGTTTGAAACCAGCAATTTTGGAATATTGGCAATGAAATATTTTCACTTCTTCATGCCGTTAATCTTATATTCGCTCACTAACAAGACTAATTTTTCACCAGCACTCTGTCCTCCATGTTTATTTTTCTCCATTGACCGCCAACTTGCAATCTGATTGGTCAGGAGGCAGAAAAGCGCTTGATGTCACTCTGTTTTTTTTTTTTTTGGAAGAGTTTAACTTTTTTAAACTCTGATGTTACCAACAACAAAGGCTTGCAGCAACGCTTCCTACAGGGCTACATATAAAATCTTCAGGAAATCAGCACAACATAATCACATGCACACAACGGTGGAGCTGGATGTGCTGCATCTATCTGGACTTGTTTCTATCTTTATAAACACACAAGAAGCATAATCTGCTTGTAAGTCCAGCTGTAGTCATTTTTACACGATATCATTTTAAAGGCGCTCATGTTTCAGCAAGCTCTTCTTCAAGACAAAGTGCTATAGTATGTCTCTTGAGACAACTTTCCCCCTCCTTGTTCAGTCACTGGCTTTTTATTTTCGATCATAAAAATGTTCTGGAAAAGGAAAATTAAGGAAAACATTTGTCTTAAAATCCTGTAGTGTACACCTGGCTAAACTGTGTCCCTCCTTTCTTCCATGTCTCTCATATTCCGACTTCCACTGCACACGCACACACACACACACACACACACACACACACACGGAGGTACCTGTAGAAGTAGGAGCAGCCACGGACAGTGTTGTGGCTGAAATACTCCTGCGACTTCTCGTTGCCAAAGTCCTCTAGTGGATCCGACCACAGAAGATCACACATGGGCCCAAAGGCTGGAGGCTCTTTAAACCGGTCCAGCTGGAGCACAGAAACAGAAACAGAAAAAGAGAGAGACAGAGAGATAGAGAGCGATATTAAATTTTCATAACTCATACATTATCATACCAAGACTAATACATCAGCATTATATACACATATATCGGGATTATCCACATAAAAACGCAGGTATAATACCATCCAAGAATCTAATTTTTAATTTAAAGTCCTTGTTTTTTTAAATTCATTAACTACTATGAATTATTCAGTATCTATTAAGAAAATGTGTGTAGCTATAAAATGTAAGTCTGGACCTTTAAAGGGGTTTAAACAGATTTAAACCTGATCACTCAAAACACTTTAAAGAGGGGTCCGTGGAGGTCTAGTGGTCACGTCTCAGGGCTCACACCACAGTGGCCCGGGTTCGATTCCCAGCTAGAGAACTAACCCCAGCCACTAGGGTTGCACAAGACAGTGCACTCCCAATGCCTGTCCTAAGCCCAGATCAAATGGAAGGGTTGCGTCAAGGAAGGGCATCCGGCATAAAAACTAATAAAAACAAAATAAAATACATGGAACAATGATCTGCTGTGGTGACCCCTAACGGGAGCAGCCGAAAGACAAACAGCAACCACTCAGAACACTGTTTACACCTGCACTGCAGAAAATAATATCTTAGCACAGAGGTGTCCAAAGGTGGCTAGATTAGACCAGAGAGCCGGTCACCAAAAATATTATTCTAAAGCTCCATTATAGTGAATTTAACTGCAGCAGGGTATCATGTGACAGCTATAATTGTGAGACACAAGATGATATTCAGAAATTCGTGCTTCTTTATGGGATAAATGACACTGACCACCAATTAAGGAATCTTTCAAGAACATACAAAAGGTTTTCCATGCTTATTGGAATCACTGCCACTTATTAACTCTAGTAATGTTCTCTAATAAAAACATTCTTCTGCCAGGATAGCTTCCAGCTGCTTCAGTTTCTCTGCTCTCTCATCCTCTGAATCATTTTTTGCAATGCCCATGATTTGTTTCATAATGTCTCACGATATTAAATTCCTTAATTACCTCAGCACTCTCTTGACATACAAGGTTCACGCATTTGCTATGGCTCTCGATGAAAAAGTATTTGTGTTTCCAGCTCTTCAGAAATCACTTTTTGTCTGTAGCCATGACTAAATATCATTCAGTAAATCAATTTGCAAGTGTAGTCAGAGAAAAAAAGGGCTCTTGCAATTTAGCTAGCTGTGTTAACACAGACTGCTGCCACCGTCAAGTGAAAGGAAAAATCACAATCTGTCCACGGGCCACGTTTTGTCATGTTTTGACTTTGGACACTCCTGTCTTAGCAAGTCTAGACATATTTTTCTAGACATATTTACTAATTTCATGGTTAAAATTTGCAGATAATTTTGCTCCTTTCTACAATTAGCTGGGAATTATTACTCTTATAAAGATTACTAATTAATCTTATAAAGCTTATTAATCTTATATTTGCTTAAAAACAAACTAATAAAGAGAAATATTAGTTGGATTTGCATATATTTTAGATAGTTCCTCTTGCTAAGATACAATGTTTTGCAGTGTGGCTCTTTAATATCTGGTTTTTACCCTGGTAAGATCTTAACCACATGCATTTACACTTGTAGTCTTATGCATCTTTGATTATCCTGAAGAGAATTTGTTTGCTGTATCACACATAATATCCAAATATGCTTATCGTCATATCTTTTTGTTATTACTGAACTACTTCATAAGCACTTCCTGTTTAAGCAGTAGACAAAGCAAACTTCTGCTAACAATCATTGCGAAGTCTTGCCAACTCTTGAGTGTGTGCAAGTTCTGTGTTTGATTGTGTTTTGACTATTACCCTCCTTACGACCTTGAGTTTTGCATTATCGCGTAATACACCTCCAGCACATGGTTCCTCAAACCTGTCTCGAGTCCTGTGTGTTACATTTATAACACTTGAGCACAAACATTCTGTGTTGTTCTGGTTGTTTTATGCAAAAGATGGTTTGGAAAAGACATCTAAAGTTCTGCACTTTTTTATTTAATCTCAGTGGAAACTCTGGCGTTTAATTTTGGCAATTGATCTTTATAAGAAAACACTCTTTAGACGGTTTAATAGCAAACACTGCTATATTGCACAAGCATCTGAAAGTAAAATTGGAGTGTATATTGATTTGTAATGTTTTGGGAGAGGTTTTGGTTTTCAAATAAGGTTTGGAGAGATGGATGTATTTGCTAAAATGTGTCTCAGACCGGCTGAAGTGGTTTGAGTGATCACTTCTGATTTCCTTTTTTCGTAAATATGTCTCCAGTGCATTTACACATGCACTTTTATGATAATTCCATTTTCAATACGGCAGCCACCTTTTACATAAGACCATAAGTTTTTTTTTTGTTACTTGGCATTACATACCTTGAAAGTGACCTTGGGTCTTAGACACGTAAATAAATAAATAAATAAAATTGTGTTGTAAGCTAATTTGCATTTTACGCAGCAATTGTATATGCATGTGAGGTAAAATCTTATTAGGATGCAATGCGGATATATAGACGCATAACATCAAGCAGGCCTGAATGATTTATTAATTTAATGGACATAAAGGTCAGTTTCCTCTGTGCAAGAAATGTTACTCAGGGACTAAATCCATCTGCATATTCATGAGTGTGCGTGCGTGTGTGTGTGTGTGTGTGTGAGCACCTTCTTGATGTCATCTAACGTGTGTATCTCTGGTGAGAGGCCACCGTGCACGCACAGAAACTGCTGATTCATCAGAGCGGCCAGCGGCAGACAGTCGAACGCATCCATACACGCGTCATACACCTGCTCGGAGTATTTAATTTTACCTTAAAGAGGGACAAAAAGAGAGAGGGAAAAGAAGAAGATGGACAAACATGAGTGAAAGGAATAACAAGAGAAAAAGAACAGCTTAAAAACATGCAAACGCTCCGACATGTTCCGAGGCTGTATTTTCTTCTGCGTCTCATTTGTACACAGAGATCCTGCATGAATTTACACTTTCACAGAACACTGTCAATCGAGACATCGAGAGAGAGAGAGAGAGAGAGAGAGAGAGAGAGTGTGTGTCTGAGAGACAATCTGTACTGTGTCAACTTCGCCATCCCAGAGCCACCCCATCTGTTCAGTCATACCACTGCATCACTCAGCAACACACACACACATACACACACACCTCCCTCCATCTCTCGTCTTGTTTCTATGGTTTTCTTACACACACTCATGCAGTGTCTCTGCAGGTAATCATGTACATTTTTTTTCATATAAAATTTATGTGAAGTTTTTTTTTTTAAATTTATTTTATTATTTAAAGTTGTGTTTAAAATGTGTGTTTTGGATTATTAATGGAAAATAATTTATTTACACACAGACGTGTGAAAACTGTCACTGCAGCAGTTTTGCCACATTTTTCTAAAAAAAAAAAAGAAAAAAGAAAAATCGTACAAGAAAATCTGAGGCGAGTGTTGTTGCATCATAAAATATAAGAGCCAATCAGTTTACAATATGCAAATCAAGACCATGAGGGCATTTCCTATTTGCATATTTATTGAACCTGGTTTTCTTGATAAGAGACGCAAGTCACTTCTGTGCCTTTTTGTAGAAGCCTCAAGATCAAACAAGTTATTATTTAGCACAGGAAAGATTATGATGTTCAAAACACCACATTTAAGAAGGTACAGGAACACAAGTTGTACTGTTCATCTTAAAGGATGGATGTCTCTTTAACTGAGGGCAGCCCTTTTCAGGCCAAGAGTGTGTCCAATGAAGCCTGTGTGTGCGTGTGTGTGCGTGTGTGTGTGTGTGTGTGTGTGTTCTCGCACTTGGCAGATGGAAAAGGAGGGCGCCCACTCTTTACTGTCCCATCAGGGAAATCACACTCGCTGACTCCCTGGGCCAATCATTAACGAGCAAATTAATTTGCTGCTAATGCTCTTGCTCTCTCTGTCTCATTTGAGAGACACTGATCTAGAAAGCATGTCTGAGAGAAAACATGGAGCTTATGAAGAGGGTGAGGGAAAGAAGGGTCCTGAAGAAATGGTGGGATTTGGAAGAGAAGGGGACAGGAGGAAGGGATAGATAGATGCATGTTTGTATAGACTGAGAAGACAGTTGTTGGATGAATGGATGGATGGGTGGATGAGTGGACATACAGACTGAGAGGAGAGTTGGTGATAGAAGGATGGATGGATGGATAGATAGAATGATGAACAGAATAGAATGAATGGATGGATAGATGATGGATAGAATGTCTAAATGGATAGATGAATGTATGGCTATATAGACTAAGAAGACAATTGTGGATAGAGGGATGGAGAGGATAGAAAATGGATGGATGGATGGATGGATGGATGGACGAATGGGTGGAAAATGAACGGACGGATGGATAAGCATGACTTATGACTGGATGGTTGGACAGGATGTATGGATCGAATGATGGAGAAAATGGAAGAATGATTAGATAGACAGCATAGATGGATAGATGGATGAATGGATCTTTCTCAGAAAGACAGTTGTGGGTGAAGAAAAATGGTTGTAGAAAAATAGATAAATCAAAACAATGGGCTCAAGGAAAAATACTGCATTGTGGGTAAACAGGAGATGGATAAAGGTCTGACTTGCTGTTTGACCAGGAAATAAAGTGGGAAATTTAGTGGACAAAAAGAAGTGTGTGTCTTCATACTTACATTCTTGTTTGAATGTGAAATATTCAGTCAAATGTCTACATTCATGGTTTCCCCGCAGCAGAAATAACGTCTTTGGGTAGAGGATTTTCAGTGACCAGAGATACAATACACACTGAGAGAGAGAGAGAGAGAGAGAGAGAGAGAGAGAGAGAGAAAGAGACGGTTGGGTCACAGAAATTATATCAAGAGTTGTCTTTTCATTTAATCTTTATATTCTGTTATGAATTAAATTCCCATTTGATATTTTATGAATTGAAATTTTAAAAAAAAAGATGAAATGCATGAAACTTACATTACAATCATCTTTAAAACTTCAAAAACTTATTTCAGTGCATTCACAATGAACACATTGCTGGGTAGCAGGTAGCTAAACCAAATTTTAATGCCTTCAGTTCTATTAGCTAAAACATCAACTATACTATACACTATAATCAAAAATGTCATTTTCTAATAATGGCTACATTTCTGGTTTAGAAAGTGAGTTTTCTAGTAATGTCTAGAAACTGAGTTGACTTCCTTAAACTGTTAAAGCCTCTGCCATGTTTTCAACATCACCCACTGTCAAGTTGGAAATCCCGAAAATGGAAAAGTTTTTCCGAAATTTGTAATTGCTGTAATACTGACATGATGTACATGCAATCTCATCAAAACCATGCAATTCTATGATTCTGACTTTTGTTGTTGTTGCAAAAAAATATGTTAATGTTATAAACATGATTCAG